GGGGATGTGTGCTGCCGGTACGAGTATCATACGAGTAGAAGAGCTCGGACAGGGGACAGATACAGTAGATGGATGGATGGGGGGGGGGTATGGAAGAAAGGTTGAATCTGCCTGATGAGCCGACCAACAAGTGATAGCTAGCTAGCAAAAGCTTATTCTCCTGCGCTTGAGGTACTATAGCTTAATCTTCTACTTGTAACCGGCCGGCTGCTACAGCATAGTTGGCACTAAACTTAGCAGCTATACTGTATGAGTACAAGTGCAGTACAGTACTCGTACAGCCGTACCGAATTGTACCGACCCAAGGCTTTCCCGTCCATTGCGATGAATTGCTACAAGTATAACAGAGATGGATGGATGGATGGATGGATAGATAGAGGTAATCTCACCTATCCATATCCAGCACGCATTGATTGTCTCCTAAGAACCTAGTCGTCTCGCGCCTTACCATATTGTATTGTATTGTATTGACAGACATCATCTTCACCACTCACCACCCTCGCCTAGATCCCTGGTACTCTACCCCTCATCACACGCCCCGTAGTCACGGTACCCGGTACTCGAGTACGGTACTCGTACCAGGGACAACCGAGTGTGCCCCGGAGCTACCGGCTCCGAGCAAAAAATAAGGATAAGCCACACACTATCATAACTAAACCTACCCACCCACCTCTGAGCGCTTGGCAACAATTCTAGGCCTCGTCCAACGGGTGCTCTAAAAAGGATCACAATCGAGATCTGTTAGACACTCCCCCCGCGTATTCACGTTGTGCATGTACTGTACTGTACCTAGTACTGTACAGTACAGTGCACTTATAAATTACGCTCGATACTAGCACCAACAAGCAAGATATTTACAAGGCAAGTACGGTACTGTACAGATAGAAATCTCAAACCAACCACATAACAAGATATCGGCGGTGTAAAAGCAGCTCCTGATACCAATAGTACAAGAATTCCAGCCAGATACTGCACAGTAGAGTACGGTACGGTACACATCTATTGCCACGAAGCAGCGCATTGCATAATTCCTCAAGGTGCTGGTACAGTACAATATAACCATAGCCCATTTAGTTGGTCGTAGGCCCCTCAAGTAATTCACCACAAGGCACCATATCCATGGCCCATAAACCAATCACCTGGACATCCATTATTTTATCTTTTTTTTTTTTTTTTTTTTTTTTTACTGCATCTTCCTCTCGCCTCTCTTCTGCTTCACCGGCCGCGGGGGGAAGAAGCTGTGGACCCAGTCCAGACCTGCGCTTGCGTTTAGGATAACGGGAGTAAGATTGGGAAAAAAAGTAATTATCGTGGAGCGCTGCGGGGATTGGCGGAAGGAGTCAGGATTGGCCGGGTTTCGTTATATGCATTACATTGCATAAGGCCAGCGGCCAAGAAAAGGGCCCCCTCAAGTGAGGAATACTGGAGGAAGAAGAAAGAAGAAGGGGAAGCGGTAAAAGGCCAACTGGCGCCTGAAGAGCGGGGGGGGGAAGAGGGAGGGGAAGGAAAAGCTATTTTAATAGCGCAGACAAGTATCATACGGTGCGGTATCGAGTACTGTACTGTACCGGTATCATAACATCATAACCATTTCCCCTCCCAGCATGTGGGGATCGAGGCTCGGGCTTTAGGTTCGTGGCGCTTACCGTATTGGTTGGGTGTTATGTGCATCACCTTCTGGATTCCCGGGTATGAGGTACGGTACGGGTGGGCGAGGATCTTATGATCCCGTTCCGCACAAGAGTGGAATCAATGGTTCTGGAACATAGGGCTGATCATACAAGAAAGTGACCACACATACGCACACACACGCACACAAAAAAAATTAAAGCGCGAATTGGGACTACCAGGACATCAAGTAAACTCAGAGTGGCAGGCAAGTGTAGGTTAAGTGTTGGAAGTTGGCAGCACTCCGGCGGCACCGTCGACCAGACGGAGCACACACCCACCATATCAACTGCAGACCAGCTCAAGCGGATATGTCGAGAACATTGATGATCCCGGACTCCCGTCCTGAAGGATCAGGAAAGAAGAAAAGGGGGAAGGTAGTGAGGAGAAAACAAGGAGGAAGAGGAGGGGGAAAAAATAAAATAAAAAATAGCGTAATGATACTCGTACCACGGTGGAAGCCCGGCTAATACGGTAGGAAAGCCCAAGCGCTAACGCGGGCAGTGTAACGAACCGCGAGCTCCCTCACTCTGTCAGTAAATCATTTCTCAATCGCTACCTATCATGCCTGCCAACCGATCGCGGAGCTAACTCCTTGTTTGAACAGAGCAAAAAAATAAACCTAAAGAAATAAGAAATAAGAAATAAGAAAATAATAGACAACAACGATTACCGGTAGGACAAGGCAAACGCGAGGCGGGGTGTGGTGGTTGGAAATACACGCTGGGGACGCAGGTAGCCAAGTTAGTATTTACACTTGTCTACAGGTATTCTCCCAACCAGCCAATAAGTAAAGCTAAGCGTGATCTCTGATGGACAAAGTCCCCATCCACTCACAACTGCTTATGACAGTGCTTAGTTTACTCAACTTTCCCCTCTTTCGGAGATTTATAATTGTGAAAACCAGAGATCACAATCCCGATTAAATGATTGGTTGGTTGGCCGCCTTCACATTTACGAGTACTGTACAAGTATGATCCAGTGTGATACCCACAAGCCATCCAGACAAACCCTCCCCTCTGGCACTTTTGCGCTCCCTAAAAACCCATGATAGTACGGCGGGGGGGAAGAAAAAAAAAAAAAAAAAAAAAAAGTCACAAAAATCTCCAAGGGAAACTACCATGCTCATGGAAGGGAAGGGAACACTTCACCATTTCTGGATTATCCCCACCTTCCTGCAATAACTGGTAGACCTACTTACCCGGATGGAGCGTTGTATTGTAGGTACAGCTCAGAAGGATAATCTGTACAAGTACCTGTAACTTCCCCGCTCGGTCAATCGATCCCTTCTCACCGTCCAAATAAACGCTTACTCACCATCTTGCTTGATTTCTGGGAAAAAGGGTCCCAGAAAGACGTACCGTAAAATCTCGTGATATTCGCTGCAGGCATCTCTGTCAGCCATGTGATCTCCGGATTCGGAGACGAAGGTTCCTGGAAAGGAATTGCTTTTTTCCTGACACAGCTGGAGATTAGGACTAAGGACGTGTTCTCATATCAACTGGTACCCGAAATTCTGTAAAACTTGTCAGATTTAACCTATCCTGGGCCGAAGGGTATACCGTAAAATCTCGTAAAATCTCGTATAATCCAATTATCTCCAGGCAGGGGTTAATCCCCATGTTCAGAGACAGAACACCTCAAAAAGGGATGCCGTAAGGTAGTGATTGTGTGACCCGGTATGGCTTGAGCGTGCCAGGCCAATTATCGGGATTTCGAACACCAGTCATACCGCTCCGGGTAAACACTACTCCTTCTTAAAGCGTTCCGTCTCCGAGCAAGGAGATTAACACCTACGCGGAGGTAGTGGATTTCACGAGATCCCCGGACACAACAAGTACAAGCAAGAATATCAGGGGGACAACACAGCGAATACCGGTAGTGCACCATAGCACTTTACGAGCGCAGAAGCTCAGCACTATGAACGCAGCACCGGTACGATATAACACGACTAGAGTAAATTTACTCGAGTATAATAACATTCTGGGGATTGTCGCTTAAACAATGTTGCGGTACCGGTATCTGTCCAAGTGGACTCCATCCACCTCCCCCGCAAATAGTAAGTTATGGTACTACAGTATGCCATAGCCAACTTCTGTCCAGTTTGGAATGCTTAGGGGTAGTTTCTCCTATCAATATTAGCACTAGTGCTCAAGCTAATTTACGCTCCTCTCTTTCTACCATCTTCCGGCTAACTCTGCCCTCCTCTCTTCTCATCCATAGACTCCCGCGCGTCACAGTTAATACCCCACGAACACTGGTCGAGTACCGTGCCAACTCTCTTGGCAAGTAGGAGTGCCAGAAAGCAAGCTAGAAAATGTACAAGTACGAGTAACGCTCAAACTGAAGACAGCGAGATCAGACTACTCGAGTAAACGCGCTACAGCAACTGACTTACCGGTATCGGTACGGTGCTCGAGTGGCGGTGAGCCACCGACTCTGCCCTGCATACCTGGGAAAACCCGAGAGGGCGACAAGGTGAAGGGGTAAAACTGGCGTGCCCGCAGCAACCCTTTTTCTTTTTCTTCTTTGTAATATCTTGGCGGTTTGGGGCAGTCGCACAAAGTTTTTAGTGTGGTGCGTGCGAGCAGGAAGAAGTCCAAGTGCCGGTGTTCAATTGTGAGTGAAGCTCACTGGACATCTGGTAGACGCTTATTTTCTTTTGTTTTTTCTTCTTCCGCTTACCCCGTCTTTTGCCGTGAATTTGGGGGGGGGGGGGTGTTGCCATCATCGATTTCTAGATGGTGCTATGGGCTGCAGAGATTATCTTTCTTTTCTGGGGGGTTTTTTTCCTGTCCGGCGAGGTTTGGTCCTTTCGGAGAGAGAAGTGGAAGTTTGATAGAAGTGTTATGTCATTTCGTACTAGTACATTATTTGTACAAGTAGACTTCCCAGAGGCTAACTAACTTGAGCGGTACGGTGGTACTGTAAGGAAAACAAAGTGGTGCCAACCAAGTAATTAGCTAGAACAGAAGAAATTGGTTACAACGCAAGTAATGAATGAATATCGGACACCTCCGGAATCCCCCTGCCGACAACCCACCCGTGTGCATATACCCACCCCAGAGGTCCTCTGTTTCTATGCACTGTACAGTTCAACGAGGACAAGTGATACATTAAGGGAGGAAAATGACAAGTGAGAAGTAGAGTAAACAAAAAGCAGATAACGCATAAAACACCATTGTAAACGACATGCAGTAAAAAAAAAAAAAGGCCACAACCATCTACTACAACACCGTAACCCCGTCCCGATCGTTTCCGCTCCACCTCCGCTCTCCATCAATAAACGCCCGATGGGGAAAGAAAAAGAAAAAACATTATGCTAATTTATTCTATACTACATGAAGCTGGCCGTGATCCGATATAGGAGAAAACCCTTGCGGCCATGAAGTGAAGTAATCGGAAGGATCCGGCAAGGCCGTTGCAGCCGAGGACGAGAGCAGGCCGGTGTTGAAGGGAGGTAGAGAAGAGGATTGGTGATGGTGAGTGTGTATGTCGAAGGCGAAATTGACGTCAGCAATAGCCAAAGACAAGGCCTGTGATTGGCCCTGGTTTGTAGCGGCGGTAGAAACTACAGGAGAGTAGATGCTCGTGGAAGTGGTGGTGGGCGTGATTGTAGCAGAAGGTGGCTGGGAGACCATGTTGTAGTACGAGGATAGGGACATTGGCGATAGAGGATCGAATGGCGACAGGGGCATCTGCACCACTCCCCATGCTCCCCCTTCGCCCCCGTTCCCCCCATTTAGTTTCATGCCTGCGTTTACTTCGCTAGGGAGTATTGCTCCTCCCCTCATGCTGTTGGGCGAGCTTGCCAATACACCCGCACTCAGCACCGGACTTGGGGGAATAACCTCCCGCCAAGTTGTCTTCCCTGCTTGGCCTGTCTCCGCTTTGCAGAAGTCCCAGAGGAATAGGGCCGCCCGTTCTCTGGGCCCTGCAACAGATAGGGCTGAAGTGGTAGTGATAGGAGTAGAACAGAATAGTTCCTGCACGACGGTGATACCTTTAATCGCGGCCCTACACTCTTTTGCGCGTCTGCGGCGCAGCTTCTCGGTTTGGTCAGCGGCAGCGGCCCGATCTGGCTGGTGCTGGCGGTGGTGGGGGGGTGCAGCTGCGGACGGCGACGAGGACGAGAGTCCGGTGTAGAATGCAGCCCAGAAATCCGAGGCGAATGGGAGGGTAAGCTTTCTGCTACCGTCCATCCCAGCAGTAGCATCGACTGCGTGTGACAGTTCCCATACCTTCTTGCCAGGTGCGTATATGCGGGTAATGCACTCCCATTCCTGGGATGGCTGGTGGCGGTGGTGGTATGGAAGGTGGTGAGGGTCGCAGGCTGAGTCGTTGATGCTACTGCTGCTACTGCTGCTGCCAATATTGCCGCCGGATGATGATACCTCGAACTCTGTGCAGAGAATTGACGATTGCGTGGGGAGTTCAGACATGACTGACACGCTGGCTTGAAAGTGTAATACCGGGCAAGTCTCGAATGACTCGGTGTTGATTACATCCGCAACATGCGGAAAGCGCGCCCTCCACTCGGGGATCGACGAAATAGGCGCTGCTGGTAACACTGCGTCGTCCTGGGTGAGTCGGGTGTAGGAGTGAAAGCACCCGTCAACTCCCCCAACCTGGGATGGTGATCCCACCCACATTGCAAAGTTAGTCGGTCTGATCCTGGGCGCATCTGAAAATTGTGTGAAGAACTCTGGTGGACTATCAAATAGGCTTATTTCTGAAGCATTGCTGCGGGAGCTTGGGGCACGACTAGGGGAGATGGAAATAGTGTGGATATTAGGACTTGGTTCTCTCATATCCGGCGGACTATTCGAATCCCAAGCTCCGGAGTCTGCGTCCCACTCGGGGGGTTGATTCTCTGTTGTAACGTGCTTCATGACTGTCCGATAATCCCATGACTGTTAATTATTGTCCTCTTTTAGCATCCTCATCTCGAGGGTTGGACTTACAGTCTGGATTGTGTCGTAGTAGGTTCTTCAAGACTTGGATATGACTCGATACCTGCTTCCTTGTCCTCCGCTTGCCAGTGACTTTGAAGATGTAGTCCGCAATCAGCTCATTTCTTCCACATGGCTTTCCCTCCATTGACAACTTTCGCCGACCAATCTTGGGAATCTTTTGGATAGCTAAACATTGTGAATCGTATTAGTCGAACGCCCCAAACCAAACCAAACCATATCCTTCGTAAATAAAGTAAATAGGAGAGGTGTTAAACAAACCTTCCATGAAGGCTTCTTCCAACTCTTCATCCCAGACGGACTCTCCCTCCATGCTGGCGTCTCGCCTCTGCCTTGCTCGGTATTGGTGGTAGGGTACTAGATCTCGCTGAACTGTCGGAGCAGAAAGTGTTCGTGATGGTGCCATAGGTCCCGTAATTCCTCTGACGGCTCTCGAACGCTTTTTGTGCTCCAACTTGTCCAAGTTCCTTTTATACGGATGCTGAGCAGCAGCAGCAGCGACGTTATCCGAATGCGGTTTAGTAAGACTGTTGAGGCTAGAGCGACGCGAGTTCAAAGAGGTTTCTCCAAGTGCTCTTCGTTGTTCGTTGCTGTTACTACTGCGAGAGGATGTGGTCGAGCTCAGTGATGATCTTGACGAAGTGAGAGTTGGTGTGAGAAGGGAATCTTCTTCCTCTTGTTGGAGTTGTCGCTGTTCCTGGGGATTACGATATAAAGTAGTGGTAGCAGCGGTAGTGGTACAGGGAGTGTTGGTGGCAGCGGTAGTTATGATGGTGGTGGGGGGAATGGTCGAATAATGTAGTTCCATGGTGGGAATGGAAAAGTGCTTATGTCAATTGGCCGAGAGCAATTCTTTTGGACTTAGTCTACACCCTAGTCCGCCTATGGGCCCAGGAATATCGACTAAGATATGGGAGTCAAATGCTGTGTCGCAGCTACCGGTGTGAAGAGCCAATGAGTGTGTCTAGTTGGATGTGGGGAAAAAACGGTAAATATGTGGAAAGGGCAGAACCGCTGTCGCTACAGGACGGGGCTCCCGGGATTATTTGGGGAGTGGGGTGTAGGGGAGGGGGTGAGTATGGGGGTACCTTGGAAGGCTGGCTGTAAAATAAGATAGAAAGGATTAAGAAAAATAAAATATTAAAAAGACAGTGCACGGTATAGAGGGGACACAGCTAAAAGGAGCGTTGGCAGTGGCGGTGAAAAGAGTGACACCGAGAACTGCGGAGGTGGACAAGAAAAGAAACTGAAGCAAAGCGGGCCGTAGGCTGTTCGCACGAATGGCAAGTTCAAGAGAGAAGGGAACGATTGGAACTAGTAGAAGGTAAGAAAAGAGAAGGAAAGGGAAAAAGAGGGCAAGTGATTAAGCCCCTCCAGTGATATAAAGAGTATCAGAACCGTAGGAGAGAAGCGCCGTTACTCTTCTCCACTTTCCCTTCCAAATTCCAAAGGGAGCCCTGCAGGAACAAAATATCTCGAAGAATGGAGGGGGCGCATTTCCTACTATCTGAGAAATGCAAAAAAGGTAAACTAGAGAGAGTCGAGTTATAGGAAAAAAGGTTCTCGTGATGTAAAAGGGCCTTTCTTAGCGGGGATCTATATGTCGCCCCGTTTCCAAAGAAGCACCCTTCGCCATAAAGGTGGAATGAAGGGGGCCCTTTCCTTCAAGATCTTTCTGCTCCTCTCCCTCCTTTCCTCGAAGAGAGCTTCCGGTCCAATGTACCTTGACCCTCTTTTGGCTAGGAAAGTCGTGAATGTTGGTGAAGTCTACCTCATCAGGCACGTAGAATGGTATAGTAGAGCCCATCACGTTGGCTGAAAACGGATAGGTGGGGTAGTAGTTAGAGGGGAAGACAATTGAAGTAAGGGGTTCTATCAGTAGAAATGGATGCAGGAAGTTCTTTCGAAGAAAGCGCGACGCGACTCTTCAGTACAAAAAAGGACGCGAAGAAATGCTCAATTATTCCCAAAGTATTCCAACCCGTCCAAAACGGCGAGGGATGGCCACAGTGAGGGGCGCCGAGGAATAACTCAAAATGGCTCCTCTCACATCATTCCGGACTAATGCACATATAAACCTCACGAAAGGGAGACAAGAAACAAAGATGGACATGAACACCCTCTCTACCTTTGTCAAAAGGAGAGGGGGCATATGTGGAGTAGAGAGCCACCCTTTCTTTCACATGTACCGCATTTGTGCAGTCTGCGCATCGTACAGGTAGGTACTGTAGGCGTATGTCTGATGGTCGGAGCAATGTACGAGTACTGTACTGTACGTGTGCCTCTCATCTCATGTGGCCAAAACGGTCCTGCGTTACCGCGATAGTAGTTAAACGCGATGGGAAGGGAGGGAAGAAAGCGCCCCCTTCCCCAGCCACCTCTGAAGTCACTATCCCAAACCCTTAAATCCTTAAAACCCACTGGAACCTTGCTCTAGATCAAATAACCACGAGAAGAATTAAACCGTCCCCTGGACTGCATCAATATAACGGGTATCCGACCTAAACTATGATACCCGTGATACTTGAAACTAGTCCCTAATAGGGTAATCCACCACGACCACGACTATAGTAGCGCAATCGCCCGCCCAACATCCGCCCATGGTTAACCTACTGTACCGTTATTGTATCGTACAAGTAGAAGCCAAGCTCTCCTCTTCACAATGACGAGATGAAGGGAAAAAAGAAAATAAATAAATCCCATTCACGGGACTAAATGCAGCCACACCGGCACTTTACTACCGCAGTAAAACCGGCCGAGCTAGAAAGCCAAAGAGTAAAAAAGTAAAAAATAGAAATAAAACTCCCGTGCGCTTGAGTCAGGAATCGAGCAAGAGAAAGCCTACCGTATCATAGATCGTCCTCACACCGCTCCGCACCAGTCGCGAGCCAGACTGAACAGAGAGTGCAATTTTCTCTTCACTCCCCTACCGTACCTAATTCACACAAACTCTGAGCGGACGAACAGGAAGGTCACAACGAACAAAGGATCAGGAAGGACCTTCATTCAATCCAGGAAGAAACTCAGGATCGTGTTCACTTCGGACCTTGAACTGAATACAGAACAAGGCAGGATCCTCCCCCGCTCCTCCTCACCCTCCCCGACAAACCCGATAACGATTATACCCCTTTGATCCAATTCCTCCCACCCAGAAACATTCCCCCATTCCGAATAACAGGATAGGGAAGAATAGAAGGGTAAAAAATGTCGAACGAAAAGATCGGAATTGGCGAAGGTGAGCCCGTAGTCGTTCTCTGATTGATCGCCATTGGCGTCGTCGCTACCATCTTACTAACTCGACTTAATAAATCATCACTTTTGTTTGAGAACCAATCAGTAATCTTCACTTCGCTAAAGCCAATAATCAAGATGGCCGCTGTTGGTAGTACGGGTGCGGTTTTTGCTAGGAAAGGTATGAAAAGAAAAGAAAAAATATCTTGTGTTCGTAAAAGGAAGGATGAAGGAAAAAAAGAAAAGAAAAGAAGAAAAAAAAAGGGTTTGCTCGTTCACCCTAACAGTTATCATCTTACATTCACAAGAAATAACTCGTTCTCCTACTCGATAATAATAATAACATTCGCGGACCTGGGCAGGCTACCTAACCCCCGAAATCTGCAAAGCCAACGCTTCACTAATAATGAACTTCCTGCTACCACTACTGATGTTCTCGACCGTACTCCCAGCATTCAACGCTGGCAACATGGACTCCGTCCTTGCTGTGGCTATCACCGGGATTTTTTACCAAGGTGTGCTTCTCTTTCTTCCTTCTCCCCCTCCCCGTTGGGCGTAGGTTGCTATACGATATTAGGGATGGATTTATGGGTGGATATATATATATATAATAATTTACAGTCCTGGGGTTGTCCTTCGGATTGATTGTTCGCTGGTTCACGCCTACTCCTAAGTCATGGGGCGGGGGGGTTTTGGCTGCTGGTAGGACTTTTCCTTTTCATCTTCACCCCGTGGGTGCGAACAAAGTGGATGCGTTTGTTTTACTCTACCCTATCCCGTAACATGGCCGGCCTTTGCTCATGATAATATGTGCGTGTGCGGGAGGGGGGAAGTAGGGATGTTCAGTAACTTGGGTGACCTGGTGAGTGATAAAACGTGAATCGTATATTCATGTATTATTATGCAATTACCGTTGCCCGAGCCTCCCGACGTTCCCTTCAGTAAACAGAATATATTAAAACCAATGGTTTACCGATTTTACCTTCTTTTCCCTAATTTTTAATTAGGTTATATCATATATATCTACATTAGCGAAATCAGCTCCTTTCGACCCGGACAGAGATGTAATTCACCCCCCCCCCCCACTCCTGGAAATTCCTTTCTTGTGATCAGCAAAAAAGTTTATTCTTGATAATGATTCCACAGGTTGAGAAAGGGATTGCCTATGCATCCATATTCATGGTCGTTCAACTGGTAGCAATGTAGGGGCTCCCACACCCCCCATCCATCCGCACTTTTCTATCTTTCCTCCACTCTCTATTGTCCTTCCCTTCCCACATATCAAACAATCTCCTAGTTTCTCTCCCACCTCCCTAGTCAGCAATTTCTGGTGGGGAATAGGATTACGAGCTGACCCCGTCATCCGGGGGATGGGCTTTCTCAGATTCAATCTCGGCGGCCTACAACTCATCAAACGGGACTTCGACCACCGACCGGAGGTCCTACTAGACGTGGAAAAGTCAGCAAAGACACCACCGAAGTCCATAAATTCAGCTTTGGCAGGCGGCGCGTGGAAGGCGGTGAACGTGGTCTCACGGCTTGCTTCAGCAAGGCAGGGGATTCCAAGTGTGCCCGGCGGTAGGCCATCATGTGAGCTCAATCCTAGAATGACCTCGTCCTCCGAAGGGATCTCCTCCTCCGAAGCACCCATCACACCTGCTATACCACCAGAAACAGCGACAATAGTAGAAACATTGGGAAGGCCATCATCATCATCAACAGCAAGACACCTGGACACCCAAATTACCATTGCCACCACTGCAACTCTGGAAACTCCAAATTCACAGGCACCCACAATTGCAGATCCCCCCTCAGCTTCCCCACCTACATCAATCCCCATACTCCTCCGGGTCTGGGCAGTCCTGAAGCCACTCCTGACCCTACCGGCACTAACGCTCGTGTTCTCCCTCGTGATAGCAAACGTGCCATACCTAAAGGCACTCTTCGTGGACACGCCGACAGTGTCAAAGTCCAAGGTCCCAAACGCTCCAGACAACAAGCCCCCTCTTGACTTCATGATGGATATCGCGACGTTTTCCGGGCCATGCGTGCCCGTGTTGGGAATGCTGCTTATTGGCGCAGCATTGAGTAGGCTTTCAATGAATAATCTACCAAAGGGGTTCTGGAAGGCTGCCTTGCTTATGGCACTGTTGAAGTTGGTGCTTGGTAGGTTCTTACTCCCCCCGTCTTCCTTCAATGCAACCCTCTTCTTATTCCCGGGCTTTCTTCTCCGCTACGATGTTGGCGAACGCGGGAGTTTTTTTTTTTTGCATTTTCCGAGCCGTGAGGCTCGCCGGGTCGGTGGTTGGCTTGCCTGATTCCGGGTTGTGGGTGGTGGGGGAGGGGTAGGATTGTTTGCTTGGTTGGCAAATGGAGTGTTGGCTGATGCGAGAGGTGACAAGGTCCTATTATCGGCATCGCTTGGACAACGCAGTTGAAGAAGAGAACCAATTGGATCGATCCGAATGATAAGATTTTGGAATTCGTCATGATCATCTCTAGCGGTGGTGAGTTGCAAATTTCTTAATTATGCTTTCCCCCAAAACCATTACTACCTTATTCCCTTGGTATGATGGTTTTTTCCCTGTACAGTACCTTACGAGGGGAGACAAGCCAGACGCTCCCTTTTCTCTGCGGTGAAATCGATAGGTGCCTTATAAGAGAAGCCGAAAGCTGAACTGTCATTACAGCTCCGACTGCTACCACTCAAGTTTATCTGACGAATGTATTCGCGCCGCTTGGTGAAGAATGCTTGGAAATGTCGGCATTATCAGCGTAAGGCTTTCCCTTTCGCTTTCCGCTTTGTTTGAGCATTGAGAGCCTGCCACAAGAGCACTTCACGATGATCGAGGATGGCTGACGATCGCTCGAGCGAAAACTCGACAATTACCGGGTTTCAGTATCTTGTTGACACAATATGCGTTGTGTAAGCTTATTCTCATTTCAACTGAATTTCTCACACTTGTCTTCCCATTTTCCTCCTCAGCTTTGGGTCTTCTTTTCTTCCACGACAAGATTCCCGATCTTAGGTGGGAGGTGAATATCTCCTCAAGTATCCCACTACTCCGTACTTCATACACCATCGATTATTCTTCCCCCTTTCTTGGTCTCTTTTCTTTTTGCGGGGAGAAACCGAACTTTCTGCTCGTCAAGAAGTGCTCGAACGTATCTGTGCGCGCAAATAAAATTATACCCTCGATTTTCGGATACCTCTTTCCTATTTTTATTTTTATATTTAAAACTTTTCCATTCGGGTTTTTAGGGACTTTTCACCTTGGACGAGTATCCCCCCTACCTTTTTTTTTTTTTTTTTTACTTTCCTCCTTTCCCCTCCTTGCAAGAAGCTTTCCAACTGCATGGATTAGCAAAATATGTCTGCAAACCCCGTTTGAAATGGAACTGACAATGACAGGTTTGATAACACTAACGATCGCGTGTTGCTATACGTTAATGAACACCCTATAACACAAGTATGACTGTCATGGATAACTTGTGCCTTTTCATTCTAACTTGTTCCCCTAATCCAACCATTGCAACTGCAACAATTCAGACAGCGAGGGAACAGCGAATAGAAAACAGGGAGAGATATCGGTATGGTGGAAGCAATATAAATAACGAGGATCTTGAGCAGAGTGAGAATGATATATTTTCAAAGATATGGTGAAGAAAGGAAATTTAACGGGGGAGAGTTAGGGTTTCCCGCCTTATATACAAGAGATAGACGAGGTTTTTGATTTATATTGAGTGATTGATCTGGGGGGTTGGGGTTTCGGATAAATGAAAGGTACTGTGCAGGGGATAAACCTGAGGGTTTGGCAGGAACCATTGAGGGTTAGGGGACTTAGTATATTGGTGTGCCAACCGCAGAACGAAACTCAGTCGAGCAATTTATCGTTACCCGTGATATGGTATCATACCGTTAATGTAGTAAGGTGCCAAAGGGTGCCTTAACAGAAACACAATTCCTCCCATCAAAGTTGATTAGAGGGGATTAGGGGTCATGTGACGGGTTGAATAGATGAGAGATTATGGGACGGAGGAGAGGAGGAGGAGGAAGCAAGAGGGAAGGAGGGGAAAGAAGGAAAATGAAGAAAAAGGGAAGGGAAGGGGTAGGATAGGAACATGGTGGAGACAGGATATTAGAGGAAAGAATCCACGTCATCAATTGCAGGTCCCTTCTCGCTTGCTTGCTTTGCTTGCTAGTATAAGTTACCTGTGAAAGGATGTGTAAACTAAGCAGTCGCGATGCCCGTACCTAATTAAAAAAAAAGAGCAAAAGGAATCCCCGCTCCTGACCCTCTCTCTCTTGCTTCTCTCCCAAGTCCACTTCATAACTCATTTCCGGCCCGGATTTTCCTATAAACTCCTTCACTCTCTTGCCGAGGGGTTTATTCTTCTACTTTCATTGTTCCCCCATGGTTTCCTGACTTTCCCTCAATTTTCTGCTTCATAGGATTTAACTTTCCCCAGGTAGGCTAAAAGAGATAAGGTGGGTTTCCAGTCAAGTTGAGACCATCCTAAGACCTGGAGAGTGGCCATAGTGTTTGAGCGAGTTGAACTTGTTTTCGTACCTCATTTTATTCTGTTTATTCCATCTTTTTTTATTTTTATTGTTATTAATTTTATTTTATTTCCAGCTGAGATAAAAGAAAATTGCAGGCTTGCAGTGTCTCACGGAATAACGTTGAACCTTGACGTCTTAAGCTACAGTACGGTCCGGTGGTGGCTTGCCATTCTTTTCATCCGCTCTCGGGTGGAACAAGAAAAGAGAAAAAGAAAAAGTGGGTTCGCGCCAGGAACGTTAGATCCAGAGCCTCCTCCCTAGCACAATCAGAGAACTCGCTCACTTCAACCTTGTCTTCTCGCTTGCTGTTATTCAACACGAGCTGTCAACCCCAACACCTCAACTCCCTTCCTCCTTTTCGTCTTTCCGATTTTCAATTACCTCCGCCTTGCAGAGTTTTTTGGTTCGCTCGCTAGCAATAATTTCCTAGGCCCCCAAATAAAGGATGGCTAGTTTGGACAATCTTTTCAAGGTTCGCGTTCCTTGGGCGGCTCCCACTGCCTTCCCGATCGATCTCAGCGATCAACTGACAACTGTATAGAAACCAGCGCTCCCTTCCTCCTCTTCTAATTCCTCTAAGAAGCGAAAATTAGAATCATCCGTCGATCCAGGTCCGCTCCCTTTCCTACCCAACTCTGTCCTCCCGACCGCCATCTTCTAATCAGCCTTGTAGTCGCCGCCTACAAATCCGCCAAGCTGGAAGCTCCAAGTAACGACAAAGGGAAATCCCGCGCAGCAACGGTGGAAGAGGGTGACATTGATGATACGGCTGGTCCATCAGCCTTACCTGTCAATTTTTTCGACAATGCCGGAGAGGAACCGGAAGATGAGGAGGGCGGTAGATTCTTTGGCGGAGGGGTGAATAAAAAAACGGCTGAGATATTGGACTTTATGGATGAGCGGGATCGAGATGATACGGCTGCTGCTTCTGAAAAGATCGATGTGGCGTGGCTGCGGCGCACGGCATTAGGGTTCGAGAAGAAGATTAATAAAAATGCCGAGATGAGAGGGAAGTACGAAGATGATCCGCATAAGTAAGCCTCTCCCTCTGCGCCCTACGGTTAGCTTGGCATCGATTGCTAATGTGTGAAATAGGTTCATGGCTTCTGAAGCAGATCTCGACGCTGGTATAAAGGCAATTTCGGTCCTGTCGGAGCATCCCGAATTGTTTGAGGAATTTCGAAAACTAGGTTGTCTAGCCAGCCTTGTAGGACTTTTAGCTCATGAAAATACCGATATAGCGATCGACGTCGTCGAGGTGATCAGTGAACTAACCGACGATGAAGTAGAGGCCGAACCAGAGCAGTGGAATGCGATAGTAGATGGAATGATAGAGGCTCAACTTTTAGAAATGCTGACGCAAAATCTTTCGCGTCTTAATGAAGGAAATGAGAGCGATAGGAATGGAGTCTATCATACCTTGAGTAACACACCCAACCCAATTAGGCAACCTCATTATGGCTTTGAAAACTCTTACTAATATTCTATGCGAACAGGTGTGTTTGAAAATCTCGCATCACAGCAATCGTTGGCGGAACAAATGGTTCGCGAAACGAACATAACGCCATATTTACTGCAGAGAATCCAAGCCCGTGAATCACCAATTTCTCAGAACAAGCAATACGCGGCGGAGCTGCTAGCAATTCTTCTACAATCATCACCAGCTAACCGCAAAAAACTGTCTGAGCTCAGCGGAACTGATGTACTTCTACAGCTGCTATCGCCATACCGAAAGCGTGATCCAGTAAAAGGCGGCGATGAAGAGGAGTTCGTAGAGAATGTGTTCGACTGCTTGACCTGCGTGGTTGACGAACTTGAAGGCAAAGAGGCCTTCGTTGACTTAGAGGGGGTGGAACTAGTCCTGATTATGCTGCGGGAGGGGAAGATGAGCAAACCCAGAGCACTAAGATTACTGGATCACGCTGTCGGAGGACAATCTGGGGCAAACGTCTGCCAAAAGCTTGTAGATGCAGCGGGGCTCAAGACCGTTTTCGGCATGTTTATGAAGAAAGTAAACCTCCCAAGCCAACCGGTCGCTAGTCCGTCGATGCAAACTGGGTGCTAATTTATTCATTTCCCCTTCGTTACAGCAAGACAATCAAACAACTGAGCATCTACTTGGCATATTCGCTGCGCTTTTAACGCACCTACCAGCCGACTCCGCCTCACGCATCAGAACGCTGGCAAAGTTTGTTGAAAAAGACTACGAAAAGATTGCCAAATTGACTAAATTGCGTACCGACTACGCGCTACGCGTGGCCAAGGTGGACGCGGAGATCGCCGTCCAGCGGGAAGATTTGGGGTCAGTCGTTGAAGAGGAGGAAATGGCTGAGGAGTGGTTCTCCAAGAGATTGGACGCTGGGTTGTTTTGTCTACAGGTTTGTGCACACCGCTTATCCTTGACTTGATTTGATTGAGGGGTGCTATGATATGAATATGATATGAGTTGGAACATGTGGGGGCTAATACAAATGCCTTGTGGGGGGAGGGATGTCTGATGATAATAGATGACCGATCGAATACTTGCCTGGTTATGCGCCGAAGACGACGGTGCTAAGAAGAGGATTGGTGGACTGCTGGGCAGGGCTGGTGGGAGCCTAAGGGATGTCAGGAGGACACTTAAGGGTAAAATTTCCCAGCCGCCGCTAAAAGTCGCCCATACCTATATAACACAAAACACTAACACCAACAATCATCACTAGAACAAATCGATGGCATGACTGAAGCGTCAGATGAGTGGCAACAGGTTATCAAGGATATGCTCTCGACATTGATTGAATTTCTCTAGTCATTGTTTCTCCTGTTATCTTAAGTTATTTTCTTCCATTCATTCCTTGTCATTTCTTTTTACCCCATCCATCGCTTCTCCTTTCCTTCCTCTTCCCCCCCATTCCCTCTTTCCCCTCACGCGCCATTACCAAACAGCCCGCCTTACCCGCCCCCTCCCTTCTTTCCCTACTTGGCAGCTCGATATACCCAGGAAGAAGGCGTGCGGACAGCGAGGAGAACTCAACAATGGGAGGACACACCCATCACACCCACAACAAAAGCGCAAGTGCAATTCAGGGGAATTACGAAAGAAGAGAAATAATAAATAGTTTTAATCACCACCACATCTTTCCCTGTGTGACTTCCAGATTAACATGTCGAATCTGCCCCACTTGATAAATTCCACTCTGATTCGCCGCAGCGCGGCATAGTGTATGATGTACCTTCTTTTAGAACGGATACGGTAGCCTGAACTTTTGATTAATCGGCCTACGCCTACACCCATACAGCTAAGGCTAAGGCCAAATGAAAGTTTAACTCACTCACCATAAGACTTTGCGCCTATCGTCTTGTGAACCCACAATCACCTGTTTTAGTTACTGTGGTCACAGAAAACCACGCGCATCGGTAAGTATCGTTATTCAATATAGTACGAGATCTCAGTATGATAGATCACGGCACTAGATCCCACCTTGCCCTTCCGCGCTCCAACGCAGAACAAGCTCACCAGCGCCGCGACACCACAACACCTTCACAATAAATCACTCGCACATGTATGTGAGTGGCCAGCGCCAAGGAACCGTTGTTCTCCCTCTGCGCGCATGTACTGTACAGGTAGGAAAGCACCAGCGCGGTCACGAAATCCACCACCACCCTCCCTAGCCAAGAGTCAACCACCCTCCCCTCCTCGAGTATCATACAGCATCTGTCGTATCCAAGCTGAAGCTTGAAGCGGACTCAAGACCACTAAATTAACTGGCACAAATTCTTCGCTAAGGTAAGCAAGCAGCGCAACGGTAAGCCACCCCCAACTCGCCAAAACCAAAGCTTTTTTTTCCCTCACACGGCTGGCTGGAAGGGCTCGAAGGCGTTACATTCCCCTTCATCCCGTCTTAGCGCGCCCTACACCGCATTCCTATCCGACCCACCGGCCTAACGCGCTTGTGTCCTGGGCTTCTATATGTCTGTCTGTCCGTCCGTCCTTGCCACCGCTTACTAGCCAGCTAGCTAGCTAGCTCGATGGAAGCGGTGCATCGCCATTGGGTTGAAGGGTTTGTCGCTATTTTCGCAACAAGCTTGCTTAGAATGTGCAGTTGCAGTAGCGCAATGTGGGCTCGCTCGCGGGGGGTGGGCTGTAGGGCTCATTTTGCTCCTTTTTCCGGTGAATTTTGGGGGGGCGATTATGGATGGATGGATGGATGGATGGATGGGACGTCGGTGGATTGGTTGGTTGGCCTGGCCCAGTGTCTGCTCGCTTGTTCGTTCGTTTTCTTGCCTGCTTGGGCCGGAGTACTGTACTAGTACAGTACATACGGGGGGTTGTGGTGTTTTGTGTCGCATCGCGCGGTATTATACCGTATTGTACCCCCCCCCCCGCGGCTGTGTTGACACTGATACTCAGGAGTTCCGGTGCGGATGGGGATGGCGATGGCGACGGAGGTGCTGGGGAGTTCTGGGGTCGCCGTTGATGATGTTTCTTAATTTAATTTAACTTTACTGCACTGTAACTACCGGTACCGTACCCTGCTGCGGCTGCGCCGCTATGCAAGTGGTGGCATGACAGCATTGTCAGAGACAAAGGCAATCTAGAAGATTACCGGTACTGTAGAGGGCCCAGGCTTCGAATCCGCCGCAAGGACTCTGGATGGTTCGGGAGGGTATGCCCAGACTCTGCATTTCGAACTGTAAATATCGCCATAATGCGTGCGCGAGCTCACGTGCTCACCTTCCCAAAATGCCCAAGGAGGTATGATAAAAAAAAGAAAAAGAGGAAACGAGTGAGTGCAGATGACCACACTGAAACGTCAAGGTGAATAAGCGGAGGAACTTGAGCTTACGATACACGCAGTACGATACCAGACCCACCTATATCCTTCAAACATCCCGGTTGAAACAAAAACCCGGAGACCCCAGGCACCTGTCCCGATCGTACCTGAAGCGGAGTAGGTTTTGTGTACAAGTAGTCTAGATCCCCTTTCTGCACTCTCCCCATTAGAATTCGAATACCGCGTATACGAAGCAAACCGGGTTATGCATCGCCGGCTGAGTCCCGGTTTTTAGTGCATGGTTTTGTATGGTTCGTGCAATCCAAAACGTGCGCCAGGCAACAACTCGTCAATTGATTATATCTCACTATCAAGACCTGTAATTACTTCAAAAAAAAAACCACTAAGTTATTCTCTTTAGTATTCCTAATAGGCTGGTGGTTTTTCGAAGCAATATTTTATCTTAGAGGAGGGGTATAATCATTTAAAGATGCTAATTTCACGGTGGGAAACAGCGGGCTTACTGGGGGGAAGGATTCTCCGCTAGGACAGGCGCACTCGGATCGCCGTAACTATGGTGTAGATTGGGATATTGGTTTTTTTTTTTTTTTTTTTTTTTTTTTTTGAGCTCTGGGTTCTATAGGATAGCGCGTCAAGAATCCACTACTTAGTTGGAAACTTCGAGGTTCGTGCTTGGAAAAGGCACTTTGTCCATGTGGCTCATAACTGAGAGATTCTTTGGAGATTTTTCTTACTCTTGCATCTGGAATTGCTAATTCTATTCTTGATTTATACAATCATACTTTGTCACTCGTCTGAGTGTCTTCCAAATTTAATTTCTTTTGGTGGAAACACGTAGTTGGGGAAAAGTGGCTGTGGGAGGTTATCGAGGGATACATTGATGGTGTGAGTTCTACTGTTCGAGAATCCCCGGATTTTCGAAGGGGGTGGGTGGTTGTTGGGGTGGGTAGATTGCTCTTAATGGCCATTAAAACTATAATAATAATATTATTATCTGGTGAGGGGGACTCATTACTATGTACAACATGGTTACATGCATAGAATAAGGGCCGCATAAGACTAGCAATTGCTCAGGGAGGAATTACCTTGCTTTCTTTCTTTTCTTTTCTCTTCTGGAAAAAGGATCAATAATTGACATGGCGTATTGTTCCCTTTGTTGCCGTGATACGCGATGCCACGGCTAAACCATCTAGTATCGGCGTGGACTACGGTGCGGAACGGGAAGCTAGAGCTCGGCCTCCCTAAAGCTCACCCGGGCCTCTCGGCCTTTGGCCGATTCTATCCTCTCTCAAGATGCTTGCATGCATTGGGGCGTCGAAGCTGAGCTTAAATAGGTCCTGGATTGTGCTCCTTGCGTTGGGGGTTTTCATTGACTTTCCGATTGAGCACGCAGTTTTAGGAACTGCGGATCGGATGCTAAGTTTGTGGAGTGGATTTTGGGATAGGGTGTTGGAACGGTGGGTGCTTTTTTGGGGGGAGCTATGGCTTTATCTTAGTACGATATGGTATCTCGAGTTAATTTTCCGATAGCCCTATTAATCTGGAGTGGACCTCATCTGATAGAATGATTCCGCTACGGAATCCTTGGCCCAGGGTTTATCCAAGGACAGATCCCGGTAGAGTTGTAGAATACCGGTACCGAATCGTCAGACAGGATATGCAAGGGACGTGAACAAAACTTCATACTCGAGTACTTGTACTGTATGTACCTACCCTACTCGAGTACTGTAGATACTCCATACGCACTAGGCTTCAATTCCTAATATCATATTAGCGGTTAGCCTCTCAAGCCCCGATAACAGTTAAATTTATCGTATGGGATACTCGAGTACGTGACTCATGCGAACAACAAGGCCGCCGTTCAGGCGAGGGTGAACCAATAAGAAACTGGAATGAGCAGCGGTTATGCTGTAATGTCCCATTGAGTTAACCACGGGACGTCATGCATTCTGAACGGCGAATACTTGCTCCTGATCACACACCCCTGCTAAGTCTAGACAAGGTTGCTTGTTCGCTCGCAAAGATGCCAAAGCAAGGCAAGGAGTCGGCGATCCATCTGAATGGATCGATCAGGGTTTTTCCTGTGTCTCACACCTCTTTTGCACTGGAACGGTATTCAATGTTTTATAGTTTTCACGTGAAGGGATAGATCGTGAGCGCCTTCTGTTCATGTTTGAGTGCGGTTTACACCAACGCCTGGATTCCACGGCAGAAGGAAGAAATTCCGTGGAAGAAGAGAGAAACGAGCGGCCAAACGTGATATTTGATCTCGTTTAGCGGGGGTGTTTTTCTTTCTTTCTTTCGTCTCTCTTGCGGCTCTGCTTTGTGGCGAAATGTGAACTGCATCATACTAATGCTGGTGCCATCTCGACTAACTGTCCACGTCCCATCGACAAACACAACCCCCTGGCTTAGGCTTCTCGCAATTCTTGGGATCCCCGATGAACTCGCTAACCCCTCCTCCTGCCCTCGAACCCGATCTTGAACGACGCTGCGTTTCATCTACAGCAAGTGTGACTAAACATCTGTTGAACCGACGTTGACTGATAGGGTGCTGTGGACCATGCCTACTGTCCCTGTGCCTACCAACTCCACTGCCACCTCCCCACTTCCATACAATGTCCAGTCGCAAACCCCGCCTCGGAAGACCTCTGGAGCCTTCACCCCCTTGGGTGGATCTTTCGGTCCTGGGGGGGGTGGAGGCTCCGGGGTGGAAGTAGTGGAAGGGATAGGGGGAGGTTACGTCGACACTTTACCCGCGGATAGACAATTATTTGTTCTCTGTGATCCGGTAAGATTGCCCGTGAAGCTCTCTAGAGCTTCCTTCACGATGCTAACATCAGAAAAAAGGTAGCTTTTCGCTACTTGGAAGAGGAGACTTGCACTACCGTTGTTCATCGTCACCGCACGCTTCCCGGCCACGAGGTTTACTTTGTCGAACAATGGGCTTGCTCCCGTATTCACCCTACCTTTGTCATCTCTACCTATACTGGGGATCCAAACCATGTTATTACAATCGGCGTTCTCAATATACCTCGTGATGAGGCCCAGTGGTCGCCGCGGTTACGCGTATATTTCAGAGCTGTCACAAAGTTCCATGCCCGACCAAAGGAAACCCCGTATGGGAAGCTTATGGTGACGAACCTATCAACATTTCCGAGCGCGTTAACCGTCATTCCGGTCCCCGATGGAGATGCGAGGCTGCATAGGGAAGACTTTATTGTCAATGAAGATTTGAAGAGAATGGGATGCTCGGGGAGGTCCGCCTTGAGCTTGAGTATGCCTGCGGACGCTAGTCAGACCAAATTTCATCAGCTTTATAGAACCTCGGATAAAATTCCACTTTACACTTCTGTTATGGAGCTTGTCCGGTTATGCCAGATTGCGTTGACTTTATTTGAAAAATTGAAGCCGGAGTATGCGGATGGGCTGCTGTGTGACATCACCGAGAGAGGGATATATGATTGGTGGACAGAATTTGGTACGGAGTTTTACAATATCGAGCCGAGTGATGGGACACTTGGACCCACGACGGTTGCCGCATTACTGGGCATGGTACTAGGTGCGAGGAATAGACTTTCATCTTTCGGTGCTCCGGTACCCAAAGATGCTTTTGATTTGCCACAGTTAAAGAAGGCGATATATCATTTCCAACGACAGCAAAGGATACCCAGGACTAGGAGACTAGATAGGGAGACTATGGATAAACTACAGAAAGCTGCTATGAAGAATGGGAGTGGGGCATCATCAGGAGACATCTTTGCCGTCCCGAGGGCTATTAAAAGTACTGTCGTTGACCTTGGTGGAAGGGCTGTTGGTAGCAGTTCTGCGAAAGTAGAGGGGACCAGCGTCGAAACGGTAGACATAGAGAAGTTTGCTTCGCACTTGAGTGGCGAGCGATGCAAATACCTCTGGCGAGGGAAGCCGCGAAAGAGCCAATCTGCTACTGGAGGTGGGGTTGGCGGGAGTGCAGGCACTCAGACTCCGCCCGCAGCAGTTAGCATGAGCAGAAGAAATAGCGTTGGTGGAGGGAGCATTAGCGAAAATGAGGGCATGATTCGACATTCCGGAGAATTTACTGCTACTGGCTACCATGTAGTGAGCAATCCGACAAATAGCTCGCTTGGTAGCAGTGGTGGGGGTTCTGTGACAAGCCCTGGGCTAAAGGAAAAAGAGAGTGAGGGGAGAGACGTTTCAGACTTGAGAAAGACTGTTTTTAAGGGTATGTCCGGACGGATGAAGGGCATGAAAGATGTTGCTTCAGCTGGTGCCGATTATGTTAGGGGGCGTGGGCATCACGGACGATCATATGCAAAGGATTTCGGCGTCTACGAAGATTCAACGGAACATACTGGGACAACAACACCTCTATCTGGCCTCAAGGAATCAGAGCGGAATGAGAGGGAGCACAAAGGACCGAGCGAGCATCCTGTCACCTCGTTCTTAAAGTTACCTTTTCATACCGATAGCCCTGCCGGTAGTACTGGGAATATCAACTTCTTGAGCGTCGTGTCAGGGGATGGCGGTGTTGCAACCGGAAATCACAGCGCCGCGGCGAGCGTGTATAGAGAAGTAATGGATGCTGAGGGGGATGACGATGGGGAGGAATTTGTGGACGCAAACTTGCCGGGACGTCAATGGATAGATTACGACGAAGGTAGGATACTAGAGTGTGGGAGAAAGAGAAACAAGAGCTTTTCCGAGTATCTGAAGAAGTGCCACGAAGTCAGGCACGAGGAATATTGGCCAAGAAGGCTGAGTTTCTCAGTCGCAGAGGAGGCGGTATTAGATATTGGGCTGCTGCCTTCTCTCGATGACGACGTACAGGACGAAAGCGATTTGACGCTAGATACCCTCTCTCGTCATGCTCTGAACCTCCAAACCTTACTTGCGGACGACCGTATTTCAGAATGGACAGATCGTAGGTTGACTACGCTTGAGAACATCTTTGCTTATCTGGACTCTGGTGCCGGCAGGCTCGAGGGTGACTTACGTCGGGGATCAGAGGTGGTAAACTCAATGGGAGAGGCAACAAGGGATATGATTGATCGCCAAACAATGGACCTGAAGGCGGCGGTGAGAGAGGTAGAAGCCTTAGGCGCCAGACTGCAATATGAATTGGGCAGCGTGCGAGGCCAAATGGCAGATGTGGAGGATGCAGTGGATGGCTTCGGAAGAAATGTCGAGGAAGTTGAGGAGAGAGCCTTAGGGCTCGGGGAGGCTATCGAGCGGGGTTGGGGGGAATGGTTACTTGCGGTTGTGTTTGGGATCAGGAGGAGGTAGCTGAAGGAAACATAGAATTTTCTTTTGTGTGATATGAGGAGTCGATTGTTCTCCAGGCGCGGTGGGAGTTTCTGTTTTTGTCGCATTTTTGTACTGATACATTTATTAATAACTTGAAAGGGGGGTGGGGGAGATGGTTGTGGCGGTAGAAAACGTGTTGAAGCGGGCACTCTTTCTTTCTTTTTTTGTGTATTGCTACTCCATTTGAGCGTGGGTAGGTAGTTCGAACACGGAGGTATTTGAAAAATTGAAGCAGTTGCTGCAACACATTTGCTCTGCTTTCCAAACGCTAGACTAATTATTCCAAGATCGTGAGAAGGGTGATGTACGATAAGGTGTATAGATAATAGAAAGAAAAAGGGAAAGGAAAAGGAAAAAGACTCCACCCCGGCCCAAGTTGTGACGCACACCTTCCTTTCCAATCCTTTCCATTCACGGCATCCCCATTACTTTGCAATGTACAGTATACCATCTAGTCTCGCTGGGGAGGAAAGTAAACAACTTAAGCACCGAGCCCACCACCGCCCTGGGCACCTCGCATGGCCTGGCTCTGGCTCTGCATCGCTTCACTGACCTATCACCAGCACCCGGCCTCGATTAGCTGGACTTGGATGGTGTAATATTGTGGGAGTGGGATAGAACCTTGATGTTGACGTCGAAGAACTTGGAAACGCAGCGATCGAGGCAGACCGACTCGCCCTTGTTCAGGTCCGCCTCTTTGTAATCGGTTGGAATGCATTTGTTGTGGCATGATCGGGTGAGCCTGTGTATTGGAATTGCTGTGAGAAAATATATTTCTTAGGAGGAGAGAGGGGGGTAAAACCTATTGAACATATCAGTAATCATCTCGAGTTCTTGTTCCGCCGCGGTCATCTTCTCGGCTAAAGTTGGTTGGGGCTTGCCGAATCCTAGGAACGACATTATGGTTGTGGTTGAGGAGGTCTTTTTGTTTCGCTGGTACTGCTGGCGATAATGGGAGAGGTGTTGAAGCTATGGAGTTTTGATGATGAGGGCGGCTCATCTGTGGCGGTGGTGGGGTTTTGCCTGCCGGGTTGGGATAGGGGTGTCAAGCCACAGAACCGGGAAACATCTAGCGTAATTTTTGGGGGGCCGCTTCTTCGCCTTTTTCCTTTTTCATTCTCATCACACGAGCGACAACGACCACAAAAGCGTCCCCTCTCCAAAAGGAAGAACAAAGTGGGGGTGCCTATTTGAACAAAGGTATATTTTAAGTTTGCTCCTACTGTTGCTAGAACCTGTCCTGGAAAATGATGAGATGAATTTAAGAACCGTTGCGAATGATGCTGGCTTTGAGGCTAGTGTGTGACTTTACGATGCAAATCTTCTCTCTGATTCCTCCTCTGCCCTTCATCGTTATTGACCTTATTGAAGGGACCAATTGCTAATGATTATTAGATGTTTATTTCGAGGCCCCCCCTCCTCTGCTTAACCCTCACCAGGAGACAATTTACTCCCCGGATAACCCAGCGCTTCAAGCGCTCCTTAGCTGCCTTAAGACCGGACCTCCAACCTTCAGCGCGTCGAAGAAACCTCCAGGATAGCGATGTGCCCCTCTACCCGCATATCTACAACCAGGGCATGAACGTAAAGAGCGTAGTCGAGATATGTAGGGAGTATGAGCACATCGTTGCGGGATGCGGCGGTGGCGATGAGAGTGTTTCTATTGATAAATTGGTTACCATAAGAGGTGTGTTTTCACCACCACCACCGCCATCAACACGTTGGGGGAGGGATTTTGTACTTGTATTTATTGTCTATTGTAATAATGAGATTGAGTTTCCCCTTACGCGGCGAAGGCAGGATCAAGAATTACCGGGAAGTGAGCTCGAAATTGATCTTTTACGATCTCGTCCAGGATGGGGAGAAGATTCAGGTTGTGGTTAACTGCGCGAGGGTGGGCGGGGAGAAGGGGGAATTCAGGAGGATCTCGATGCTGACGAGGATTGGGGATGTCGTTAGTTAGTCTTTGTCCATTCGCTAACGTGATTATTGTTTATATGGACTGACGGAATTGTATGGAACAGGTGTGACGGGCTATCCAGGCCGTACCAAGGCCGGGGAGCTCACTATCTTTGCAACAGCGCATCTACAGATTCTAGCTCCCTCCCTCCACGTCCCGCCACAAACAATTCTGGATCTGGAAACACGCCTCCGGAATCGGCATGTGGACCTAATGGTCCGGCCTGTGGCCGGACAAATTCTCAGACTTCGCTCCCACATCATCCAGCACATCCGCGACTTCTTCATCTCACGAGACTTCGTAGAAGTCCAGACGCCAATACTGTCGGATACTTTCGGCGGCGCGGTAGCAAAGCCCTTCCTAACAGAGGCCACGAGTGTCTGCCGTGGGAAGCAACTGGCCTTGCGTATTGCGCCAGAGCTATGGCTGAAGCGCCTCGTCATTGGCGGCCTAGACCGTGTCTTTGAAATAGGCACGCAATTCCGCAACGAGGGAGTCGACAACACGCACAATCCCGAGTTCACCACGTGCGAGTTCTACCAAGCGTACGCGGGACTGGAAGATATCATCAATACGACGGAGGAGCTACTCTCGGGCATGGCACGGAAGGTCTCGGAGTTGAAAGCGAGAAAGCTAAAAGACATCCCAGAGATAGAAACAGACTTCACGGCACCCTTCCAAAGACTCGAGTTCATCCCGGCGCTGGAAGCATCCATGGGACACAAATTGCCCGTCCTGCATGGGAACACCGAAGCAGTGACGCTGGAACTGCTCTCCCTCTTCAAGACACTCTCCCTCCCCACACCCCCAATGACAACAATCCCGCGCCTCCTCCAGAAACTCTCCTCGGAATACCTGGAGCCGCAATGCATGAAGCCAACGTTCATAACAAACCACCCCGAAACCCTCTCGCCGCTATCGAAAACCAGCCTATTGCACGGCCAGCGCGTGTCCTCGCGCGTGGAGCTGTTCGTGGACGGGAAGGAGCTGGTAAATGCCTACGAAGAGGAGAACTCTCCGACGGAGCAGAGGCGCAAGTTCGTCATGCAGGCCGGGTGGAAGGACGAGGATGTTATTGAGCGCGGGGAGGACGGGGAGGGGGTGGTCGATGAGGCCTATTGCCAGGCACTCGAGTGGGGCTTGCCCCCGACTGGTGGGTGGGGGATCGGTATTGATCGATTGGTTATGGTCTTCGCAGGGGCCGAGAGGATTGCTGATGTGTTGGCGTTCGGGGGCTTGAGGGGGGCGGTCAATCTAGGCGATGGGGTGCGGGGTACGAAGGAGGAGGGAGAGTAAAGTGGAGTTCGCGTCATGTGTTATCACTCGCTATGTTTTTCCGCTTCGAGTGGGGCAATGGGCTTAGAAAACCTGTATCTATCCATGCGCCGTACTTTGCGGCGATGTATAACATAATTAAGCATCTCCAAGTTTAGGCCTGTCTTCGTCAAAGTGAGGGTGTTATGGAAAGTCATGGACGCCTAAGAAAAACCCTGGCATCATGCTTCGTGATACAATCAATTTTCGTAACTGTCACGAACTAACGCTGAACAAGCGGGTAGAAGGAAAGAAGTAAGGGGCTGTTTGGAACATGTCATCTGAGCTGTTTGTCATTTCAAAACGCATGGTAATGGTATTTGACATGCCATCGTTTTGCGGGGGGTGTTTTGGGAAATTTTTCAAAAGCCATTTATGTGATCATAAGAGATGTTAATGGTGTCGCTCGACTTACCCTTGCTACCTAGTATCATACTGGGTGTTAATTGTAAGTGAAGCGAACTCGTTCGAATCAACTCCTAAGTCGGTTCCACGCTTCCTGTGCCCTTAACCCCCGCTTTCCCCCGCCCCAACGGCTTCTGTACTGCTGACCGGTCGAGAGCCTTGCCGTAAAAGCCAGAGGGCTATAAAACGGATAATGCCCGGGAAGCCGTCCCAATTACACGATGATATAATCGCATATCATACATATATAGACTGGGTTTTTTTTTTTTGGGGGGGCGTTCTTGAGAATTCAAGCGAAACGTTTCATCTTCCTATGATATTTACTCCTTCTGTGATCCCTCCCCCTTCTAACATTACAGTACTACATGGTGGCTATGGAAAGTGGCAGTAGGAGGGGCCGTAATGTAGGGTTTTTTCTTATGCTTCCCGACATTCTGTGTGAATGCCAGTGCTCTCACATCGCATATTTCTTTCTCAGGGGACGGGCTTGAATTTAGGGGTGCTTAATTATGCTATCCATCATCGCTAAGCATGGCGCTCAGATCGGTACAGGTTTTCTAAGTGTAGCGTCTTATTCTAGGTGGAGAAACACTTTTGGTGATACTGATTACCAGCATAGACGGACAACACATTGCTGAGCAAAAAAGAGATTTAAGAAAATTGTTAGACTAGAGGCTACGTCCTGCTCTCCCGGTTCTGCAAAAAATTGGTTACCGGAGTTCAAAAAAAAGACAAAAAGAAGACTCAAGAATAAGATGGATAGAGAACGCAAAAGGAAAATAAGCTTGTGCTACATTTGTTTAACATGCAAGAGAAGAGTAGGAAGCGCAAAATAGATACCAAGTCAGATGACACCCCATTCCATATTCTAACGGGTTGAGTAAGACGTTTCCTAAGAATTGCCTTAATTCATTCTTCAATGTAGCTAAAAAATCATGCTGATACAGCTAATACAAGCCTGCCCTTCCGCCAAAGCCGCCAGAAAGTACAAGAATTCCCCCGGCTCCAGCCTATACTGTATCAGACCAATCCATGGAGTCTGATTCCCTCTAGAGTGTGTGCGTCGGTGTTTCGTGTTCGCCATTGATTGGGGTCTATCGGGGTTAACTACTATTTGGTTTAGGATTTTCGGGACGGGTTGGTGGCCCTGGCTCACCGGTAGATTTTTTGGTGTTCTCAGGATTGGATGCTTGTTCATGCTCCTCCGAATGTGATGTGGAACTTTCCTGACTATTGGCGGTTCTAGGCTCGCCGGCAATGGAGATGGAGCTTTCAGGAATGGGTTTTTCGGGACAGGTTGGAGGCCCTGGCTCGCCGGTAGATTTTTTGGTGTTCTCAGGGTTAGGTGTTGGTTCAGGTTCCTCCGAATGTGATGTAGACCTTTCCTGACTATTGGCGGTTCCAGGCTCGCCGGCAATGGAGATGGGGCTTTCAGGAATGGGTTTTTCGGGACAGGTTGGTGGCCCTGGCTCAATGGTAGATTTTTTGGTGTTCTCAGGATTGGGTGTTGGTTCAGGCTCCTCCGAATGTGATGTTGACTCTTCTTGACTATTGGCGGTTCCGGGTTCCTCCGAATGTGATGTGGACCTTTCCTGACTATTGGCGGTTCCAGGCTCGCCGGCAATGGAGATGGAGCTTTCAGGAATGGATTTTTCGGGACAGGTTAGAGGCCCTGGCTCACTGGTAGATTTTTTGGTATTCTTGGGATTGGGTACTGGTTCAGGCTTCCCCTAATGTGATGTTGACCCTTCTTGACTAATGGCGGTTCCCGGCTCCTCCGAATGTGATGTGGACCTTCCAGAACCATTTGTAGTTCCAGGCTCGCCGGTAATGGGGATGGGGCTTTTAGGAATGGGTATTGGTTGGGCATGCATCGTCGATAGTTCGGGGTTGTCTGGATTTGTTGTTTGTTTAAGGTCCTTAGTATTTAGATTGGAGTTCTCCGGACCGCTTTTTTCGTTAACTTGTTGACTTAAAATATGCAACTGGTGCTCTAACTGATTTGACACTAGGGTTAGAGAATTTTCGCAACCTTTGATAAGGTGGCACAATTTGTCAAGAGTGGGGTGAGGTTGAGAAATGGGAACTCCGGGTTTTGTGTCAGTCCCAATAGGGTCAATTTGAGGATTGTGGGGGTTCGCCGATCGATCGATAATCTGGCTTAAGATATCAATATCAAGCGGTAAGACCATTAAGGCAACCTCATCCAGATGAGAGCCAATATGACTCCCGATGGAAGACTTTGTCTCTTCGATCTCATCTTGACAAAATGGACAAATTCCTTTGTCCAGAGCCACAGCTTTCTTTCGCATATCTACCAACTCCCTAACCTCTGAAACAGAAAAAGCCCTCACAAGATGGTTTTTAGCAACATGGCATACCATATCACTTCTTTTCTTGAGAGTTTTCGGACAGGGCTTTTGGCAAACAAACTGAACTACTTTCTCAGGATGGTGATGTTGAAATTCATAAGAAAGCCAGGAATCAGTTGAATCAAATGTAATATTTGACTCGGAGCAGTTACAGCTAGTGGATAAGCAGTTATATGGTCGGAGATGTTCCAATATGTGTTTCCTGAAATGTTAGCTAGTTTTAAGTAGAAGTTATTGATAGGAGTTCTCACTTCCACATGTAGCCGGATTGTATGCCTTTCAACTCTGTATAGCATATGGAGCAATGAAAGGTGGTTTCTAGGAACGGATTTTTGGATGGCCTTTCACTCAGTGGTACTCTTTCGTTGATGCTTTCATGCACTGTTACTAGTGACTTGGGTGTTGCAGAAACTGGGATTGTATTTTGGATTCCGCCGTTATCGGTGCTTGAAACTCCACTAGCGGAAGTGAATGATTCTGGTCCTGGGTAATTTTTAATTAGTAGGGGGTTCGGTAGGGGCTTAGAATTTTTTTCCTACTTGGGAAGTTAATCGGTCTTCTGTACTTTGAGTGTTGTAACTTCAAATCTTGAATTTTAAGCAAACGCTCACAATTCAGCTCAGCTAGTCGCAATACCAGATCATGAGGGAGAAGGGAAAATTTATTGCGGATACTTGTTTTAAAGAAACTCATATGTGCTGCTGGTTTCTCTTGTCCAGACTTAGCTATGCTTCTCTGCTCTGTGTACAGTTGTTGGAACTGTTTGGGACAGTCTGATAGAATTGCTTTTGCGTGTGGAAGGATCTCAAAGAGGGTATCAACTCTAGATTTGGCCATCATTTTTATGTCGTCTGCCATGTCTCCAGTATTGGTGTAATAATATTTGTACGGGAGTTCAAGGTCGTCTTTTATCTCTGGTACCAAAGTAGTTATGGTCTCTGCTATATCCCCCAAAACATCTCTATAGGACCATGGGAGTTCGATAAGTTTTACGCCTGATAGGTGTTAGTAGATTACACTTTAGACATTTTATGGATTTGGGGAAGTAGCATACAATTGGACAAAGCGACGGCAATTCCACAAAGCATAAGATAGGTAACCTTTTGCAAATGCCATGTAGTCCGTATTCTAATGAACATTTGGTCCAATTTGCCTTCTATAACTGACAATTCCTTTTCCCATATCTTAAGCCTATTTCTCATCTCTTGCCACTCCCTGGCTTTGGTGTATGAGTTCCTAATATGAGGATTTGAGAGCACAGCAGTGATAGCGTCTTGGGAAAAGTTGTAAAGGTTGATAACAATATATTCCTCATGGGCTAGCATAGAGGCATAATTTTCTCCTGCCTTTGCACTGCACACTGTTCTAGATATTCCATGGCCTTGATGTATTTTCGAGTCCATAGATTTTGACCTATCTCTGGCCTCCAGGTTTCCGGAACTTTTAGAGTTGTTAGGTTAGATGCCACGCTGAAGGCTGATGTTTAAGTGATGTGAGATACTGAGAGTTTATTCTTTATTGTAAAATTTGCAGATTTCTTTAGAGTGATTGCAGACATTTCAAGTGACTAGGTTCACTGTAGAGGCTGATATTCAGAGGTTAGGGGAGGGAACATGTATGTAATGATTGACTTTGCGAGAGTGGAGCTCAGGGTGGGTAGTGGTAATACAGTGGACCAGTTGATGTGGCCGCCATATAGGTGAGGTACCACTGTCAATGAGCAGGTGTGACTGCGATTTGATCCCACAAAAATCATCCTAGCAAGCATGTGACTCATAATTGAACTTTCCCCTGCACCAAAATCTGGAACCTCGTGAGAGCCTGAATTCCCACAATCGCGTATCTCTTTTCTCCTATCACCTCTACTTCTTCTGTCATTTCTACTTCTACTGCTACCTTTACTTCGGCTGTCACTCTATTGTGCGTTGACAAAATTAACTGCGATTCAACAATTGGTAGCAAACAACCCCTCTTCATCACCCTGCATTCTCAACAGTACCTAAAAAAATTGCTCTAAGTCAACCAAGAAGAAACCATTCTGCTCAATTCTTTTTTTCAATAAACTATGCCTCCTATTCTTTGCAGTTATGCCAAAAAACCTATTCCCTCCACATATCTCTCTGAGTTTACCAGGGGGAGGATTCCCGGGTTACATGAGCCTCAGATAAGATATCAGCAAATTTCTCACTACCGTAATATCTCCTACACTACTGTCAGGGGTACAATTGCAAAGGGACATCAAGAAGGCAAGGAAAATAAGGGTAGAGGAAGACATCCTAAAACTACCAAGTTACAGGATGATGCTATGGTGGAGGAAGCTCTTAAAAATCGCCATACTACCTATTCTGACATTGCTGAGCAAGTTGCTTCCAATGTTTCTAGTAGGACAGTAAAGAG